GGGGGTATTTAAAGGTTATGGAGAGCGGGATATTTGAGTGAATTGGGATCGCGGGGGAAGGCCGCTCCCGATTCTCCAGAGGCCCCGGCCTCAGGCAGCCGGCTCGCCCCACGCACAGGGTCCGATCCCGGGCCTCGGCCTCACTCACCGCCCGGTCCCGCTCGCAGCTTCCGAGAGTCCAGGCCCCCGACCGGCGAGCAGCAGCGACTGAGTCTGCGCAGACGGCGGGCTAATGGTACTGTCCCTGGATCGCGAGCTGGGAACCTTCTAGATCTGGGTTCGAAACCCGTCCACCTGAGGGGCCTCCAATCTGAATCCAGTTTAAAACAAAATCAAACATTACCAGTCAAATCATGATCAGTTACCCTACTCGTTGAGCGCCTCTTTCTCTGCATTCTCTCCACAGATGCTGCCAGACCTGCTGAGTTTGTTAAAGTATAATTGCCGGCTCCCCTCGTTCTTCAAGGACTGCAATTTCCCCCCCACAGTGGTCGAAAACACCCTCGACCGTGTCTCTCACATTTCCCACAACTCATCCCTCACACCCCGTCCCCGCAATAATAACCAAAACAGAATTCCGCTCGTCCTCACGTACCACCCCACCAACCTCCGGATCCAACGCATCATCCTCCGACACTTCCGCCATCTGCAATCTGACCCCACCACCAAAGACATCTTTCCCTCCCCACCCTTATCTGCTCTCCGGAGGGACAACTCTCTCCGTGACTCCCTTGTCTGCTCCACACTCCCCTCCAGCTCCACCACACCCGGCACTTTTCCCTGCAACCGCAGGAAGTGCTACACCTGCCCCTACACCTCCCCCCTCACCCCCATCCCAGGCCCCAAGAAGACCTTCCACGTTAAACAGATGTTCACCTGCACATCTGCTAAGGTTTTCTGTATACTGTATCCGCTGTTCCAGATGTGGCCTCCTCTACATCGGGGAAATCAAGCGGAGGCTTGGGGACCGCTTTGCGGAACACCTACGCTCAGTTCGCACCAAACAACTGCACCTCCCAGTCACGAACCATTTCAACTCCCCCTCCGACTCCTTGGACGACATGTCCATCCTGGGCCTCCTGTAGTGTCACAACGATGCCACCCGAAGGTTATAGGAACATCTCATATTTCGCTTGGGAACCCTGCAGCCCAATGTTATCAATGTGGACTTCACAAACTTCAAAATCTCCCCTCCCCTGACCGCATCCCAAATCCAGCCCAGCTCGTACCCACCTCCCTAACGTGTCCTCCCACCTCAAGCTCCACCCCCATCTCCTACCTACCAGCCAGCCTCATCCCGCCTCCTTGACCTGTCTGTCCTCCCTGGACCGACCTATCCCCTCCCTAACTTCCCACCTACACTCACCTTTACTGGCTCCAACCCCGCCTCCTTGACCTGTCTGTCTCCTCTCCACCTATCTTCTGCTTTATCCATTTTCTATCCGCCTCCCCCTTTCTCCCTATTTATTTCAGAATCCCCTTCCCCTCCCCCATTTCTGAAGAAGGATCTAGACCAGAAAAGTCAGCTTTCCTGCTCCTCTGATGCTGCTTGGCCTGCTGTGTTCATCCAGCTCTACACCTTGTTGTCTCAGATTCTCCAGCATTGGCAGTTCCTACTATCTCTTGCCTGCTCCCCTTCCTGGTTTCCAAGGGCCACTGAATGTGGTTGACTCTTATCTGATGTAATTGTTTGGTGCCACTGTCCATCCCTCACCGACGCTCAGTAGCAGCAGTCTGTACTATCTACAAGATACACTGCAGAAATTCACCAAAGATCCTTAGAAAGCACCTTATAAACCCTTATCCATCCAGAAGGTCAAGGACAGCAGGTATGTGGAAAGACCATCAGCTGCAAGTTGTGCTCCAAACCACTTACCATCACCAGCACTGTTACTTCAGTGTCACTCTGTTTCAAATAACACTGCAGGTATAAATCTTTCTAGTAACACTGTAGGTACAAATGGATCAGTTAATATCAAGTGAAGATTCTAAGTTTTGGTGTCCTTTCATTCATTTTTTTTGTGTGGAAACCACAATTGCAATCTTATTACATAGAAATAGAACAGTACAGGCCCTTCGGCCCACGATGTTATGCCGAACTTTTACCCTAATCCTAAGGTCTATCTAACCTCCACCCCTACCTTATACTATCATCCATATGCCTATCATCCATCGGCCCTACTCTTTCTCTGGTCATTCTCTTATTCCTCACATACATCATTTGGGAGGCAATAGCCTAGTGGTATTATCGTTGAACTGTTAATCCAGAGACCCAGGTGATCTTCTGGGGACCTGGGTTCAAATCCTGCCTAATGGCAGATGGTGGAATTTGAATTCAATAAATATCTGAAATTAAGAATCCAATGA